TGACATAAGCGCCAAAGGTACAAAAATGACCTATCATTTGCGCCAAAATCAGTAGGATATAAGCGCCAATCTAATATTGTATACCTGCTATACCCAACATATGACATAAGTGCTAAAGGTGCAAAAATTACATATCATATGCGCCAAAATTAATAATTTATAAAAGTATTAAGTAGGTAGTTATTTAAAAATTTCTATATCTTATAAAAATTATATTATATTAAAATTATTTTGTTGATAGTAAATTATAATATAGGTAGGTACATGCACATAAATATTTAATAAATTTAATAAATTGGTTAATTTTTTATAAAAATAAAATGTCGATAGTAAATTATAATATACATGCACATCAATATTTAATAAATTTAATAAATTGGTTAATTTTTTATAAAAATAAAATGTCGATAGTAAATTATAATATACATGCACATAAATATTTAATAAATTTAATAAATTGGTTAATTTTTTATAAAAATAAAATGTCGATAGTAAATTATAATATACATATATGCACATAAATATTTAATAAATTTAATAAATTGGTTAATTTTTTATAAAAATAAAATGTCGATAGTAAATTATACTATACCTGCACATCAATATTTAATACATTAATAAATTGGTTTGATTTTTTAATCCCACTTTTTTCACATATTCCATACGATTTATTTCACCATCCTGGTATTTCTTCCATTGTACAATTATTTCATCGTGAGATATCCTTAATTTATTGTTAGGAGGAGAGTTCATAAATAAATATGTTTCGCTTTGTAATTTTAATAATACATCAATTACTATATGAACGGAACAATGAGCAACATAAATTGTACGATACGACTTTTTTTTTCTTATCTTATTTTGGCGCTTATGAACGATACGATTTTGGCCGCTTTTTGTACGATACGACTTTTTTTTTCTTATTCTTATTTTGGCGCTTATGTCTTCCACCGCGGCACAGACACTGACACGCACGCGAAAACAAATTTAATGATTAATCGTTACCTACCTTTTATATATTTTAATTGTGTTGTCAATTGTCATAATAATTAATTGAGTTATCATGATACAATATAAATGTAGATTAGGTATAATGATGTCGGTCGCCGACGGCTCGTCCGCGGAAGATTAGCACAATCGGCACTAATTATTAGTACGTTCCGTAAATCGTAATGTCAACACGGAAATAATATTCAACACATTATTATCTCGAAGCTCCGTGTTAATACATCGTGTGAGAGGAAATCTCATCTAATTAGTTGCCAACTACTACCCGTCGTAGTGCAATAGAGTGTCTAGGATTTTTCCAAGGGGGGGGGGGAGACGATATAAAATGTTTTTTAGACATTCAGTATAGGTACTCATATTATATTCGTATTATTAGATACATGATGATATATTGATGATAATTGATATACATTGATTATAAATAGTTTATACATTTATAAATAAAATTATTATCAATATTTGTACTCAGTACAGACTGTTCTAAGAGAAATCGAGTGGATACTGCAGCTGGTAGAATTCGTAAAATTTTTAATAACTTCAAACGTTATAGAAAGTGCCATCGATGGATGGCTTCTTTCATCAAATTTTCATGTCAATCATTGTAACTCTCATCATATATGTCTATTGTGTCTAGTAGATACAGATTGTGTATTACGTTTAAAAATAAAAAAAAAAAAAAAAAAAACTTCAAACGCTAATAACTAATTAATTTGAAATTCCAGTAGGCATTTTTTGTTTTAGTTAAAGGTAGAAGAACTTCTGAGGAATCTTGAATTCAATTTTAAAATCTTCGATATAAAAAGACAACTAGGAATTTCTAACTTAAAATAATTTCCAACATTTCGTGATTTTGACTCATATAAAATTATTGTGAATTTATGCTCAAATTTAAAGACGCACAAAAAAATATTTTTAAAAAACTACTTATTGTAAAATGTTAAGATTAATTATAATGTAGTTTTTGTTACGCTTGCTATTTTCCAGTAAATTTTTAACTGACAATCTATATACCTATTATATATATTTATAATACATTAATACAGACATAATTCTTTTAAAATATTTTGAATCTATTAAGAGTTATTTATAGTCGATTGAAATTTTAAATTTCTTCTCTATAAATATCAACAAAAAAATTTTCTCTGTGTCTAAAAGCTTGTCAATTTAATACAAGGTTCCTCGTAAGATGTTAAAACAGCAGTTCAAAAATATTAAAGATACACAAGTACAATTTTTGTTTGAAAGTTAAAATTTAGACAAAATTCAATAAAATCACGAAAAATATTGTAGGCTTAAAAATAATAAAATTATTAGTTTATATAGATAGCTAATGATGGAACATTTTAAACAGGGTACCTCATAAAGTTTTCTCATAAAAAGTGGCGTTCCAGGGGGATTAAGGGGGCTATATCCCCCATTGACTGTATTAACCTTAGAATTTTATCAAGATTATAATAAAGTGTAAATAAAAGACATCGTATTTTGTATACTTAGCTCCCCTCCCCCCCATATAAAATTACTGGCTACGCCACTTTTTGTACTATTCTAAAAATATAATAATATTCTTACATGCCATATACACTCATAGACATAATAATGTATCTATGAGTACAACACAGTCAGGGGAGTAATTAGGGGGGGGATTATCGGGATGGATCCCCCCAAAAACTTTTTATTTACTGCTAACATTTTGATCAAAATATTGATAATGACCATTCATGTTTTCTAAAAACGTATATCCCCCCCCCCCCCAACAAACCAAATTCCTAATTACGCCACTGAACACAGTACCACACATCTTGTGCCGAGTTCGTACTTTGCAGTGTTCCAGACGCCATGCGAATGTGTAGTTGTGTCTAAAATCCATAGACCTTATATTAGTAGGTATAAGGTCTATGCTAAAATCTAAATGTGTGAACGCCCGCCAGTCGCCAAGTACGCCAACTTCCCCACTCGGACACAGCGGTCAGCGACCGGTAGGTTATCAGTTATTAAGAAATATATGACAAATTTGTTTGTTTTATCAAATATCAATATTATGATGACAAATGGCCTTAGAAGTTAATAAGAAGTAAGGACTTCTTATAATTATGGCCGATTAAATGGTTGATGTAAATACTAGTCTGGTGGCAAGTGTCCCAGTTGCCCCCCCCCCCACATGACGCCACTGTGTGACCACCATATGGCCATATCTCACCCCGTATAGATACGCCACTGCCCGCAGTAACGTAGTGTATAGGGTAGGTACATTACTGCACTGTTCCTCAATATTGGCTATAATAATAATTACAGTTTAGATCATCGCAAGTATATTCCGTTCGCCGGGAGAAAGTGATTTTGCACAATCCAAAAAGGGTCGTACGAAGTGTGAATATATAATACTGAGTACCTACTAATAATACATAATATAAGATATAACATAATATGACTCATATATTAGGTATATAATGTACCTATATAAGACATAAAGATTAATAATGAATTGTTTTACATACTTCATGCAAATCTATAAGGTGTTACCCGGCGTATAGTATACATAAAACATAAGTAAAAAAAGGTATAGGTAGGTACGTATTAAACTTGTCGTGGTGAAACGAAGACAGCTTTTGGATTGTTCGGGCTAGAGTATTTTATACATTATTGGGAGTAAATGCATATGGCTATACGCATAGGCGCAAATAGACAAATTATTTTGAGGGACTAAAGCTCCTCCTATAATGTTTTCTAAAAATTATATATGCTCAGTACTAATTACTGACTTTTGAACTGGGGGGACTTGGCAGAAATATGGGGGGACTAAGTCATCCCAAGCCCCACCTATTTGCGCCAATGGCTCTACGTCATATCTAGAGAGCAATACGTGCGACTGCTGAAGAAATAGCTATCTTCATCTGTCTACATTTCGCTCCGAACTGAAACTTGAAATATTTTATGAGAACCCTGATTTACAGCAGAACGACTTTCCCGGCTTCATAGAAATAATTTTGAGTTAGATAAATTACGTCGTCGCTTTAATTCGCGTTTAGTTTTCAAGCAGATGTCATCGTTATGTTTATATATATTTTATTATTCAATTCGACTAAGTCACCCCCAGTCACCCCATCCCTTAGAACTTTTCGCCGGACTCAGCTTTTGTCGTGGAGGGGTTGCGTTGGAAATAATATAATGTAACTATACGTAAAATATTAATTTTATTCATTGATGTGATTCGTGGCATATCTATTCAGTATTCGCAAATGCCAAACACAAGAAAAACATTCATATTATACGAAAAACATCTAGGTCGAATATTGTAGGGCAACTGCCCACTGGTCTTGGAACAGAGGAACGGAATATTATGGCATCAATGCATCATGCAAACTGTTGGAAATTGTTTGTTCTATTTAATAACTCAACAATAACTCAACAATACACTTCACATCGCTGGGGCTGGACACAACCATAGATTTTATAAGATCCATCGTGGATACAACATACAACACTGCAGCAGTTGTGAGAGCTATAAACGTCGCAAATTTTGAAAGTTCAGCGTATCGCGCCGTTTCACAACCCCCTGGTATATCGATTACCTGGTAAACGTTCATCCATCGTCCAGCGGAATATTGTCATTCTTATCACCTAACAATGAGTATAAATCGGATATTTTGCAAACGCGAATACTCGCGCAGTTACGCGATATTCATAATTAATGTTTATGCTATTTTCTCTTCGCTCGGCTCCCGTCCGCAGTGAATCGCAACGAATGCCGCCGATATAAAACAACAATATTTGTTTCGTCCATTACCGTCGTCGTCGGTGCACACATCGACCGGCGAATGACCTGTGTCGCTCCCGTCGGACGCCGTTTCGATAATATTTTGCCATAACAACATATTCGCCATCGCTTCAATCGGGTTCACGGACGGTGTGTCGCTTCGTTGCCGTCGCCGAATGATGACGTATTGAACCGGCGGAGGCGGCGGTGATACCACAATCGCACATCGCATTCGGTGATGAACGATTCTACCGCACATGCATCACATCACCACCGTACAATGTCCAAGTTTTTAAAACTAGCGCACAAGTTCAACAGCTTTTACTTGAACGGTACGTGTGTCTCCTTGTACCCCGTGTGCCAGTGATTGTTGTATTATAATAATATAATATATGTGTTGTATTGTAATATTGTGTCCTATCGTACATTGTTGTTCACCCTAAACCATAATATACCCAATGAGTGATTTTTTTTTAATTTTTTTATAAACCGTACCCACTAACAATCGTCGTCTGTCAACACACAGGATTACAGAAAAAAGAATGCCGCGCATTCATCGTGGACGGCATTCAAGTCGGGTTGGTCCAGGCTACCGTTACAATAGAATTAAGCCGCTATCCGAATGTGTTTATTGTCAACCCGAATAGTGTCACGCTGAACCCAGCATTCAGGGATTACGATGAACGTTCTGCAAACATAGAGTCTGTACTTAAAGAAATGAAAGAAAAAAAGTTGTTTGTAACGCTGAAAGGGTGGAGGGATGAGGTATTAACACATACATGCTTTTTTTTATTGATATAACAGTTTTGTTTTATTTGGTGTTTACTAGCATGATTTTAACAACGTAAACAATTTGTATTTCCTAGTATTTTCATTATTTCTTATAAAAAGATATATTGTAAGTTTAAAAATAACTAATGAAATATATTTCAATTTAGTGTTATGAAGTACGGACAATGTTTGCTGATCAACCGTTGCTAAAAATGGATCGGTCTGCTACTTGTAAATGTCCCAGACAATGAACAATTTTTATCCAAATACCTAATTGTATTTGTTATTTTATTTGTAGGTTTATTTGGTATTTGTAATTATGGTGTCGACATAAATGGTTATGTGAACCATCCACAGAAAGGATTATGTATTTGGCTTCAACAGAGGTCATTGACTAAACAGACATGGCCTGGAAAATGGGATAACATGGTTGCTGGAGGTTTATCGGTTGGAAACAGTGTTATACACACTGCTCATAAAGAAGGAGAAGAAGAAGCATCATTGACTGCAGACCTTATGAAAAATTTGCAATCGGCCGGCACTGTGTCGTAAGCTATTTTTTTTTATGTATATTAATTTTCTGTCAATTGTAAGTATACTTTTTATGTTTCAGTTTCTTTTATGAGAGTGAACGAGGATTGTTTCCTGACACAGAGTTTGTATTTGACTTAGAATTACCTCCTGATTTTGTGCCTCGTAATCAAGATAACGAAGTAGAAAAATTTGAATTGGTGACTGCGAGTGTAAGTATTTACTTTGTATATATTTTATTATCTATTATCTATTATCCACTCTTATGAAAAGTAATCATTTAGGAAACTGTGACAGAAATTTATCTCCAGACTTCAAGACTACTAGCTGCCCTGTAATTATTGATTTTTTGATCAGACATGGAATTATTAATCCAGAAAATGGTAAGTTTAGTATAGTAAAGTAATTAATTGATTACCAGATTACAGTTATATTTAATATTCTAGTACTAAAAACAATTTTAGCTATTGTGTCAATTATATTTTATTTGAATCTTTCAGAGCCACGTTTTCCAGAGTTGGTTGAATTATTACATGTACCACTCCAGTCTCTTTATAAAAAGTGTGACAACTTGTTGACTGAAAACGGCCTTTCAAAAGCCGAATGAATTGTTTGTTGTATTAATTTATGTAATGTCTTCTTTCACTTAACTTTCATTTTCAATATTACTTCTTATTTTTGTTGTTGTTTTACTTTGAGTCTATTTATTTTGCCAAATATTCGCTAATCCCATATGTTCCTTCCATTTTTATTGTGATACATAAATTAAATGCGTACCTCACGCCCTAATGTTTTGTTATTATTTTAATATTATTTAATTTTAATTCTATACATATTAAAACGTTTTACTAAATTAAATTATTTTTAATTATTAATCATGTATTTGGAATTGAAAAAGCATACTAAATTTTAAGATTTGAATGTTTTTGTACTATTTAATAGTGTTTTGTTAAATAAAATTAGACAATTTTTAAATAGACATTATTCACAATCATTCTAAGCTTGTGGTTTGGCTAGTCAATCTATATTTTTTAAATTAAATATTTAAAACACTTAAAACCATTATAAACATCATATAAAAAGTGTAGTGTTATATTGAAGTGATAATAAAAATATAGGTTTTTGTCTTTAATACTGTTATTTATCTATCATTAAATTGGTATTAATGATGACAATATTTATATCTTATGGTACTCCTATGCCGTTACCACAAGTCATAATTGCCCATTCTATTTTGCGTGTAGTTGTAAGTAACTTAATATTAACTTATGATATACATTGAAAACATTGTAGACTTTATTTCAAAATCATTATCTATACCTAACTAATATCATCATTTGTTAAAAACACTTTTATAATTTATAGGCAATAGTGCAATACTAGTATGATGGCAATTAAAATTACCTAAATACAAAAGTAAACTTAACATTTACAACACAAATTGTCCAATTGACTATCACTAGCCCACTTGAATATGTCTAATAATTTTTAGTGTAAGTTTATTGACTGGTTAATAAACAAGTATATTAGGTAGACTGGAAGGAGAAGTTTTCAAAAGTATTAGAGACGAGTATGAATTATAATTCACTATGGGTATAAGAATTGGGTTTTTTTGCTTTATCGTGGCGCCCCAGATACCTGCCTAATTTTTTAATATAATATCAATTGACAAAATTATATAATTTTTAAGATATTTCTCAACCATTATAATATGATTTAAATATCTGATTGATAAAACTTTTTAGCAGTGGTAAATGTAGGTTTGAGCATTGAATTGTTATATTCAATGGTAGTCCGTAGTGCGTACACGTATTTTGACAGATTTGGCTTAGAAAGTGAGAAATCAATCCATCGAGGCATCTGACAAATGTATCTATGTAGTATGTACAGTTCATTGCATGTTTGTCTTCCCTTGATTTCATAAGTAGGTCAACACAACAAAAAACAACATATTGTAACTTTAAAAAGTCGTCAACCCATTCAGTATATATAGGAAATTATTCACTATTCAATGTTCAGAATTATTGAAGAATAAATACGAAGTACGATTTGCCAGTTGCCACTGATTACCGATGGGGCGTGCGTCATTGCGTCAGATACTCCAATACAACTGATTCTATTGAAAGTTGAAACGTATTCTGAATGACGTCACTGCGGTCCAATACATAACGTCCCCACGTCATAGTATTATATTGTATTATAGATAATTTGTAAGAAAAAAATAATAAGGTTAGGCTATTGACGTTGCATTATTATTAGATATTTATTATAATTTATTAGTTTATTACCATTTGAACAAACTCATCAGTTATTCTAATAATTTGATGTAAGTATATCACAGGTCGAATCGGTGGTTTTAATTCTACCAAAAAGACCGATAAAAATCCAATAGTTATTTATATAATTATGCAGGTATAAGTGTATAACTATTATTTTGAATGAACACGTCATGTACAAATTACAATTTTTTTTTTTTTTTTTTTTTTTTTTATTTTTATAATTTTTATTTACAATCTGTTACAATAAAATATGAACAATAAGTAAAATAGATAATTGAATGAAGTGGCTTGAGGAAAGGACGGATTTAAGAAGCCTTCCAGTGAAGACACTTTGTCAGCTGTTTCAAATTACAATTTAACTTGTATTTTTCTTTGTTTAAGTAGCTATACATAATACATAATAAATATAACCATATAAAAATCATTCAACAATTACATATTAAGCTCATTTGAATATCTATATGAACAGTTTACAGCGTAGGTATAGACGCGTATAGTGTATATTTACAGAGCTATAACGTATAAACTATAAAGTATATCTAAGACGAGTAAGACGTTATCTCTGTCAATTAGAAAAATACCAATCATCTGAAGTAGAGCAAAATTATATTCAAAAATCTTTAATTCAAAATATACAACATTTGTTTTTTTTTTCTAATGTTTTATTATATTCAATTTTGATTTATTTTTGTATTTTAAAGTAATTTGGAATTTAGTTTTATAAAATAGTAAACTTTTATTGGCATATCAATAGTGTCAAAAGTAGCTGAAGTAGGCAACGAGACAACTATCTAACTTTAAGACGAATTTGTTTATTATTTTTTTTACTAATATAAATAAAATAAAATAATGTATGTATAAATCCTTGATGTGTGTTTGTGTGTAAAGTAGGGAGTGAAAAAAATGTATAAGGGCGGAAATATGTTAAATACCCAGGAGCGATGAAAAACGTTTCTACGGCTCTGATTCTTTGTGTTCAAACGTGTAACGGTGTGTCTATTAACTGTACCCAAAAGAGTTGGATTTTAGAACAATTTTTCCAAATTTTCTTCGCCTCTACTGCAGGTCCAGGGGCTCCTACTGGTATTATTGATGTCACTCGTCGTCGTCAAAACATTTGTAGGCAGTGGCGGCGGGATATATAGGATAATTTGAAGTAATATTGCTTCATGTCTGAAATGGGTGGGTGGGTGTATAAATATATATATAATCGTAAGACCTCAACATAATCGTGCTCACACCCATGGCCCACTCTGCGAGACGGACTGAAATTTGTATACATATAGTCATATAATAATTTAAACATCACGATTTTTGATTTTTTAAATCATATAGGTAGGTAAAATTGTAAAAATAACATTGATACTCAATGATAATAAAAAATAATAAATTTAATGTCTTTAAAAATAAAATTGATAACATATTAGGTACCATTTCAGATTGCGGAATTGTATTTATTTAAAATTTAAAACTGTGTTGGCAAATTAAAATATTTCTTATTTAATTTTTAAAATATAGTTTTATCCGTTTTTATCATATATGAATGATTTATGCCTTAAACAGTGGGTGATTTTGAGTAGGTAAATTGAAATATGTAACATTTTAATTGTTTCTTCCATCAGAGTTCAGGTTTTTTAATCTTTATCGACTTATCCCACCCTGCCACAAATGTCTGCGCACGCCTGTGGACCTCAACAAAAATATCATGGCAAATATTATAATTAATAATTATTAATGGCCCCTGCTGCTAATTTTGGTTCAATGAAAGGTACGGTGGTAAGAATATTAAATATACAATATGCTTCAAAGTCTACACAATTTTGCGTCGCCACTGCTTGTAGGTACCTACCCCTAGTACTATATACACCGTGTTTTTTCTGTATTAAAATTTAAAATAATACTCAATACTTACTCATCTATATATGAAGATATTATATATTACTTTAGGTTTCAATGGTAAAAAAAAAATCAGGGAGGGACTCCCTCCTCACCTTAAATATGTCACTATGTGTCTGTGTGGCATGTTGCGTGTATGTCGGATATTATTTAACCGTCAATCGTACGACCTTTATAATATAAATATATTATACGTATTATGCATTTATTTCTAATATACGATTTATATATACCGTGTGTCCGCAAAAACGGTAGATAAGTTGTAACTAACTGTAATTTTTTTTAAATATATAATTTTTATATGACCTTAGTTAATTAAACTGAGAAATCATTAATATTCATTATAATACCTATATTAGGTACCTATGTATAATTTTTTTTAATCAACAATAATTTCGATTTTTTTATATAGGTAATGATACTATAAATAATTATAATAATTTAACTTTTTTTATATACATTTTTTAAACAGCTATTATTATGAAATATATATACCAGACTTTTTTTACCACGATTTCGCGAAAACAGGGTATACCTATTGTATAATTAAATTATTTACCTACCCATATTACTCAGTAGGTACCTGGTACCCTATACATATTTTTGAATTTTGTTTGTGGGACATGAAACTAGTATATTGGATCATAAATCTCTCGCAAGACAGTATTCTAAAATATGTATAGGGTACTGAATAATGTAGGTAACTGAGTTATGGACACACGGTAATACGGTATGTCGGTATACACCGGGTTAAAAATATGAAAAAAAACTGCAAGAAACAGATTTAATGAACACTTAAAAGTTAAAAGCCGAAGTAAATCCAATCTCGTTAAGATTGGTATAAATGGTATAAGTCTTCATGTGTTTTTATCAAAAATATATTTAGAATTAAAAAAGCAAATTATAAAATTATTGGATTTTAATATTTGTTTTATTTAAAAAAATATTTATATGTCATATTTCTACTAGGTAATTGTATTATAATAGTATTGATTATAATCTGTAACCAATAGCTAAACACAAGAGCCACCTATAAGGGTTGAACAAAGAATCTATAAATATCCTCAGAGTCTCAGGGAATCTATTGATATAACTTTTATTGAAATTTTTCAAAAAAGTTATTTAACCCCCCCCCACAAAAAAATTCTGGGTACCCAATTGATTAGCAATTATAAAAATACTATATAGATTAATGGTGGAACACATGATTTGACATTCGTGTCATATATAATACGAGACTTACCTATTATTTGCTTATAGGTTTATAGTGTGATATGATGTGACCTACGTTTTTGTAGTCATTGACCATTGTTATTCGTTCTATACATTATCGTATCCTTTGTTATTGTTGGTAGTTTCAAGTTTGGTACCTTCTACTATTATGTTCGATATTGAACGGGGAATCATATTCATGTTTAAATAATATATAAGC